TAAATTTAAAAAAAAAAAAAAAAAAAAAAAAGAAGTATAGTCTGACATGGTTTATTTCCCAACAACTTTAATGTAAAATAATAATAATAATAAATAAAGAAGAAAAAGTATAAATAGAAGCCCACAAGGATTGCATGGGTTGGTTGGTGACAAACGCAAGCAATGAGAGTCCATCTCCAAATCATTGCTCAAATGACTTATAAACCTTTCAATCATTGCGCTCCCACTTTACATTCCTGTCCAAAATTGCTTAATTGCTTCTATATCAGTTGAGCTATGTTCATATTAATAATTTATTTATTAAATTTAAAAATATAATTATGTTTTTTTAAATTAATTATTATAATAAAAAATTTTAATTTAATTTAATTTTTTTTTTTTTTTTTTTTTTGTTGATCGTGAACATTGTGAAGTACAATAGCGAAACCGAAAGGGGCAAGTAGTCAGTAAAGTTAGTGTGGAAAATTAGGTTTGAGTAGGTCAATACAATGAGCCTTGGAAGAGCTGTCTGTACTACCAAATGTATTTAAAAAAAAAAAAAAAAAGTAAATTCAAAACTCAAATAAATAAATAAATAAATAAATAACAATAGGACTCTTTGTTTGACTGTGACAAATGATTCTTGTAGCAAGGAATATATTAAAGGCAAGAAAGCTATGGTTTTTGTATTATTATGCCTTTTTTCCTTCTTAATATAACTATACAATAAATTCACCATCTTTTCCTTGCCCTCTTATTTTACGTTAAATTAAAATATAAGTTAATTCGAGGAATTTTTAATTAATAGATTAATTAGATATAAATTTGAGTTATGTACTTGGTAAAAAGAATATTATACTTTATATATAATTAGCAACCATACTTGGATAAATATTTTGATTAATGATGATTTATATTTTATATTTAATGAGTAATTAGAAATTAATTTAAAAGGTTAAAAGACCAATTAAAAATGAAGGGTGTAAATTACCAAAAGGCCAGTGTAGTTGAGCATATTTACAGAAATACCACGATTTCAAAACATGCAACCGCGTTTAAAGCATAGAGAAAAGGAGAAAACTTGGGGATAAGTGTTTTGTTTTTTGAGTATTTTAAGAATCACTTAACGAAATTCTAAATCCAAAAAGGCAGCAAAAGCTTAGCATCATAATCCATTCCCATCCACAAAGTGCATGGCATTCACTTTAATTACCCAAAAAGTTCAGGGGTATTTTCGTAATCAACTTTCTATATAACAACAACACTTGAATTAAACACACACCCACATCTCAAATCAAGATGGCTGCTCCATCTTCACCAAACATCCTTCCTTCTCTCCAAGTTTTCTCCCTCAAATCCTCTAATTCTTCTACCTTATTTCTTGTTAAATTCAAATCTTTCCTTCACACTATCATCTTCTCCCATTTGTGTCGGTTGGCTCGGGCGATCTCCCGAGCCAAGTCGACCGTGGTTCGGGTTTTGAAGAAAAATTATCACTACACGAATAGAAACAAGAACAAGATCTTTTTCGGGTCGTTTAGACTTCATTATAATTGGTGTTCTTCCCATGTGATGCCTGTGCCTGACCCTGTGTGGGAAGGTCATTTTTACTACGACGCTGCCACTGCGGACAGCTCGCAGCTGTCCGGGTACTTGCAATGGTTGGAGGAGAGGAAATTAGAGAGCGAGACGGCGGCGGGGGTGACGACGATCGCAACGGAGATGAATGAGATCGACAAATTGGCGGAGATGTTCATAGCAAGCTGCCATGAGAAATTTAGGCTGGAGAAACAGGAATCAGCTAGAAGATTTCAAGAGATGATGGCAAGAAGCATGTGAAGAAAATTTGATGGGACAAGGTGGGTTTGATGGTGTTGGGGTGGCAATGTTTTTTTTTTTTTTTTTGAAATTCTTCGTCTTAATGTATATTATTTTGGGTGGAATTAAAATTTTCATCATTATATCCAAAATTATATCCAAAATTAAGCTTAATTAATTAGTTTACTCTGATTTATATATATATATATATATTACTTTATTAATTTTTTTGAAAATATGTTGTTTTTTCTTTTGAAATTTGGTTGATAATTATTTAAAAAGCAAAAAAAAAAAAAAGTGAAATGATGATACTATGAACAGATTATAGTTTGAATAGAAAATTGTGGTTTTACTTTTTATTTTCATATTTAAAAAAAAGAAAATAGAGAGAATAATGTGAGAGAGAGAGGAGTATTGGATGGATGCATCGCTTTCAAGTTTCATTTTGGAGGTTGGCAGGTAGTGATTCTGTTTTCCAGCTTTTTTGGGATTATACGGTGTCGTTTAATGAACACTACAGACAATTCCTCATGTCGGAAAGGCCAAAAGAGTGACCAAAAATCATAAGACAGGGGAAGAGAAACAGAGTCTGCCTGTGGGTTTTGTTCTGTTTAATGGTTCACTTTTTTTGGTCCCTTGTTCCGCTTGTAAATGACGATTTTAAAACGTTATAAGCTAATAAATTTATGTTCGTATTAGACATCAGGCATTAGAGAGTCGTTGGAGTGGTAGCTGGAAATGGACAACAACAATGGTCATCGAAGATGGGTGGTAGACCATAGTGTAAGTTCTCATATCAGTTTGTGGAAACTTTTTCCTAATAGACACATTTTAAAACCGTAATGGGTTAAAGCGGTTTACTTGGACTGTTACAGATAATCACTAGAGATGGACAACGTTTATGTGGGCATAGTCGGTGGGACATCATAAAAGTGAAGGTAGGGTGTGAGAGTATTTGGGTCTATTTTTCTAAAATTTAGTATAAAAAATAAGCTCTGAACGTCAGGCACCCACCTGACACGTATAGACGTGTCTTAATAGTTGCTTTTCTTGGAAATACATTGATAAGTGTAGATGTGGCAGTCTCACACGACATCGCCAGCTCTAATCATGCTCAGATACACTTCATCTATTTCAATCATTTTCAACCACAATCACACACAACAAGTGTGACTAAGCAATTTCATGAAATCATAAAAAAACCTTAATTTAAGTAATCGAGCATGTGACATCAAAGTAAAGAATAGGTACATGCATCTAAATAAGAGTTATTCTAATAATTTTCGACTAACGTTCGTATAATTTTTTTACACATAATTAGAATTAGACTATATTAGCGTATTATATGATCTCAATTTATAAAAGTTGTGCTTAAATGACCCGTTACTTTTATCGTCATAATTATAAACGAACTCTCCAGATCATTGACCAACGCCCTAGCAAACGGCTACGGCATCTTTTTCCAGCTTCCTAAAGTAATTGCTTTTTCATCTTCACATTGTTCTAACTAAATCAATCAATGCCCTCAATCTGTTTCAACAAAGTCCCCAATCAAACCTTTATTTTCTTTTCATTAAAAAAAAAAACGCCTAGAATTTATAAAATTTAATTATCTAAACTTTTTAATTTTGGAGATTACTCTTTTTAAGAACATAATTTGAATGACTAATTAAATTTTTTAATTATAATTATAAATAAAAAGAAATTACAAAAATCGCTTTTTTTTTATTATTATAATTACCCTCTTAAAATTTTAATTTAATTAACTCACCTCTAAAATTTGAGTTAAATCTTGAAATTTAAGTACTTAATCTTGAAATTTTATAATTATAAGGAATAAATTTTGTTATAGTTGGTGAATAAACTTCGCAATCTCAACCAATAATTAATATTTTCATATTTGATTTGATAAAACTCTCGTAAATAATTAAGTTGCGTTGGACGAAGACTTTTGAAAGTGATAGGAGTGGATCACATAAGATAGACCGGTCAAATATTTTAATATTTTTGTTTTAATTTTAAAATTTAAAATTTAAAATTATAAAAAAGAAGGGTGTGGATTTGGAAAGAATCTTGCTTTCTGAGCAATGTTTTGTTCTTTATTCCCCTGCCTCTCTCTTTATTTGCTTTTTTTTTTTTTTTTTTTTGGGTTATTTCATGGAGAATCCAATTCCTTCTTGCAAGTGATGCCTTAATGTAAGAAAAAGTGAGGCATAAAATTATTTTCTTCCGATTTTGTTCTCTCCCTATTTTTAATATTCCACGTCAGCTTAGGAGTTTAATTAGATTCTTAATTACTTTAACCTCTTTAAACCAATAATATAAATGAGTTTGTGGAATAAATGAGTTTGCATTTTTTAAAGGCTTTTAAATCTAATTAATTAAGAGTTAATATTATTAATATTATTAGCTAAATCATTCATTACGGATGGGCTTTTTCTTTCGAGTAGGCCCATAATTCAAGCCCATACCAAAGCAGCTCGGCCTAATTATCGACTTTTTTTTTTCTTTTTGGTTTTAGATTTTAGATGTTAATTTTATAATGATTTATTATTTAAATAAAATAAAATAAAATATTAGTTAGTATGTTATTCACTTAATTATACGAATAATTATCCTCAATTTATGCGATAAAAACGAAATAATAACCCAATTAAAAAAAATCTAAAAACAAAAAAAGAAAATTTGTGAACCGAAACTAATCCAATGACTCCACCGTGGCATGATATTGTCGGCTTTGAGGCATGATATTGTCAAGTATAAGCTCGAGTGATTTTGCTTTTGCCTTCCTAAAATGCCTCAATCCAATCAAGAGAGTATTATTCGATGATAAACCTGATTCCCTTAGTTAGCTGGACGTGGGTGTGTGCTAATTCTGGATGGGATTTGCTCCGGTGGGCGGCAGGTTTCTGAAGCTCTGTTCCACAGCTTTCTTGGGCTCTTTAATGGCGGATGTTTGAGAAACAGAGTGGGACATGGAACTAAGAACTACCCTTGTTCCCAAATGGTGGTGGGCGGAACAGAAAGAAGAGCTGATGGTGAAGATTTGAATCAGAAGCAGAAGAAAAACGGCAGATTCAGATGCAGCTCTGCAACTAAAGCTTAAACCCTTCTTCTTCATTTCTCTGTAACCTTAATTGAGTTTTAATGGAAATGGAGAAAATGGGTTTTTGTAGTTGGACAGGATTATGATAGGGTTTTTGAAAGACGACCACAAAAAAAAAAGTTACATTGGACTCTTTATTTATTATTATTTTTTTTAAATTAATAAAAATAACCATAATTTTTTTTATTTTAATTGAAATTTTTATTTTTAATTTTTAAAAATTTCAATAATACTAAAAAAATTTCAATAAAAATTAAAAAAAAAACTCTTAAATTTTAAAAAGTTAAAAAATATATTGTTACCATTAATTAGGGAGGAAAATGGTTAATAATTTGTATATTAAAAAAAAAACAGCCACCTTATGAGCTTTTAAAAAAATTAAATTAATATCGGTTGAGATGTATTATTTATGAAATATATTTTAATATTCTTTATTTAGAATTTGAGTAACAGTATATTTTATTTTATTCTAAGTATTTAATTATTTTATATTTTCCTCGTGGTAGCTTGTATCCTAAGGATATCAATATCAATGAGAATACACACCTTCCCAATTTTATTTCTATTTCTCATTTTTAACAATATCTTTAAATTTCTTAAAAAAAAAAAAATTAGAAATGGTCAATGAAGTGTGGATAAATAATTTTTGGAGACTGAATTAAAAAAAAAAGAATTAATAAAAGTTAAAAGTGTTATTTTTTTTTTATTTTTTATTTGAAGGGTATTAATTAAAATTGAAAGGCATTTAAGGAAAAAATTAGTGTTGAAAGAGAGAAGAATATAAAAAATGTTAAAAACTTTACATTAAAATGTAAAATTAAAATAACTGATTGTTAGGTAGGTTTGTGAAGTAATTAGGTAATATTACCATATTTTGTATTTATGTTTAAAGTTTTCTTTTTCTTATAATTATCAAATGGATCTCTCAATTATTGAATGCCTTTAATGGAGTATGTTATAGGTTTTTATTTTTAAATTATATTTTGGCTAACCACTTTGAAAAGTATTTTTCATATTTAAAATTATGTGTTTTGCACCATATTTAATATTTATTTAAAAAATAAATAAAAGAAAGTCCCTCGTCAATCATTAAAATGAATTATATAATATGTCGGCAATATTGTATTTGAGAGTTCCTAAATTTAAATAAATAATAATAATACTTTGTTAAAGAATGTATATATATATATATATTTAAAAAAATAAGTTCCATATTGTTCATGATTTTGGCCAAACAATTGAGAGAGTTTCCCAACATATTTGGTGAGGGGTGATGATGTAATTTTGTCATATTATTAGATTTGAAATCTATATTTAAAATCTTTTTTTATTTTAATGTCACATCACTTGTTCAAATCATTTCATTCATGTATGTAATTCATACCAAAGAGAAAAAGTAAAAGTAGAAGAGTGTAACGCCCCATGTCAAGACATTGATCAGGATTTGAAATACAGATTTAGTACCTAAGGGCCCTAACGTTTCCTTACATCTCCTGCGAGATGGTCTTATTACTTACTCATTGCTTCTTAAAAGTAAAGACCATCCCTACAAACCAACACGAGTCTTATCCTCGCTCACATACATCTCAGAAAAATTCTTAAGAGGTCACCTAATATAGTGATGCAAGTAAAACACGCTTTAACTATGAAGTTCTTATGGTTTAGCTATTGAAAAGGAGGGTGCACCTTGTAAGTATAGGAGGTAACTTTCATTTCCTTGAAGTTTTTTTTAGTCATTCTATTATTGGGATCGCTCTCATTCGAATGTGATCTCAGTTCATTTATGTATTTCTCATTTACTCGGGTGTGAAAAAATGAAAAAAAAATATTTTTTTTTTGGGAATGATTTAATGTGGGTAGAGAATGCAATTATATTAAAAAAAGGAATTTTAGAATTTAAAAAAAGATAAGAAGTATGGGAAAATGCATTATTAGAAAGAAAAGTAGAGGTGAGTAGAGAAAATGAAATTCAATAATTCAAATAAATTTCAACAAACATGAAAGAGGGGTTATGGGTCCATGGAATTAAGTATTGAAGAGAAAAATATTCCTTAAAACAAAGAGTGATAGGAAAAATTAAGTGAATTTGGAGAAACCTCTTCTCCAAACTGAATCGACACATTAACTAACTCACAAAATTTGGTTCAAAATTTTGGTAATGTTCTTCCTAAGTTTCAACATTTGGAAGCATCTCATTGTTTTTATTCAATTATAAATGTTCTTTTTCCTAAAATTTCACTATTTTTTTTTAATGATTTGATAACTATTTAATTTTGTGTTTTTGCATTTTTTTTTGGAAATTCGAATTTGATTGCCTTCCATACTTCACAAACAGCAGCAGCTAGTTAGGATTCATTATATATATTTTTTTCTAACTTCTTTTACTTCATTTTTTTTTATGTGAGTAGCCCATGAAATATAAATCGACAATTTTCGTTATTCTCAAATATATCATATGCTTTTTCTTCGTTCTTGTTAGGTTTAATTTGCAATACATAGACCTATCAAATTGTTTTATTTTTTCTTCTAAAAAAGAATTAATGTATTTTATGGTAATTTAAATAAATCAGCCCTCCAAATCACTTTTGAACAACTTTTCTTCAAATCTCTTCCCTCCATGATGTCTTTGAACCTTTTTTTTTTTTATTTTTTTTTATAGTATTTTGGACCTCTTTTTGTGTCCCATTGGTTTTTTCTAGACAAATTCTTTCAGATGCAACACACTTTTTGTTAGGGGTGAAGTGTGTCGTTTTTATAGTTGACTGGTCTTCTTCCTACCAACTTTACAGTGTTTATAAGTTTTCTAAATTTTAAAATTAATTGGCATGCAAAATCGAGAAGAAACTTTCTTATTCACTTAAATCCTGTTTGAAAGAGCCAAAATGATTTAACATTTTTTAAAAAGAAAATTTAGTCTTAAAATTCTATACAGGATTCATAGCATGGAAAGACAAATGGGTCATTCAGTTCTATCTTACAAAATATTTACCACCTAAAAGCAACTCTGAACGAGAAGATTATGAAGAAATGAAGAAAGAATGAAAATTGTTAATTACTCTAATAACCATCATTCTTGATCAAGGCATGACGCTGAGCTTCTAAATCAAACCATAGCTTGAATCCAATGGACATAGATATCTAATAAACTATACATCACATTATAGTTTCAAACTCTTAATGTTCAGAAAACAGAATTCCTGATTTTGGGTCATCCTAAACTCCTACTGCTCTTAGTTCTCTAGAAGTTAGTTCCATGCACAACAAAGTGAATAAAAACAATTCTCTATCACTCTCATTTATTTTCTGTATAAAAAAAATTGACAATATACACCATGGTAATTGTAAACACACACCTCTATATCGAGAAATTATTCAGCGCGACTGCTAATGCCAGCCTTTCCCTTTATCTACAGGGAGTTTGTATTTTCTGCATAATTGAAGCGGGTTCCTGACTGGGACTTGGTGCCTTTACAAATGTTACTGAGGCTTTACTACCTGCGCAGACGGTCAAAATATAAAAGTAGAGAGGCTTATAAGAATTGAAAGTATGCAAAGGAAAAAAAGAGATCAGCATATGGGCTACCAGTTCAATGGTTTTCAAGCATTTTAGCTCCAAGGAGATATGGAGAGATGCAACACTGACCATATTAAGAAGGCGGAGGGCAGCGGGACGGGTGAACTTCCTCGCAAAAAGGAAACATGTAGATGGTTTTCCCTTACTGGTGCACCATTCTCTTCGATATTCAGTTTCGTAGTAGATATTATCAATACCCTGCACAAGACGAATGTTCTTGAACGTGAACCAATGAAAAGGTCAACTGACAAGATGAGCAGAATACTCGGTTTCAGTTGCTGACTGAATGAATAATAAATCAGATTCAACTTTCATTTGTATTAAGGAGTGAAGTGAAGAATCGCATCCTTATCAGTGTGTTACAGAGGAACTTGAGGGAATGGGGTGAATAGTTGGTAAATACAGTTGAAGAATTTTCGTTCTTTTAAAACCTTGAGCGAGTGGTTCAATGATTTACAGAAGATGAGGAAATTGGTCATAAACACAGTATTGGATGCAATATTTGGAAGTTCCACTTTACTTAAGGGAGATGCAAAATGGATGTAGCCACTCAATTAGCACGTGTTATGAACAAAAAATAAAGTACCTTTATAGATTGTATAAGATCAAGAGTAGCATCTGAAAATTTGTATGTTACAGGATGCCAATTACGACGTTCATGGTCTCTGGAGTGTGAGAGATCCCATGCTGAATATGTAAGTGATCTTCGTGTGAGTTCTTCTTCAAGCCCTTCTTGCTGAATTATTAAAAATAAATGATTAGTAATCTGACCAACAAATTTATACATATAATGGCGTTTTAGTATGTGAATTGCGTAAAATATTGACTGCATAGGCAATTGTTGTTCAAGAAAGTTTCACGTGGATTTCTTTTCATTATCTGCTAGAAACTCATAGTTTGTGTCGAAGTTTGAAAGTTAGGATCATAGGATTCATTACCACATGAATAAGTTTTAATACAAAGCTGCATTTTCAGATTATTAGCAAACAAGAAGTGTTCCAAGTTTCCAGCAATGATGTCAATGTTCAGAAGTATAACGCTCAACTATTATATTACATGAATAACATGCATAAAAGCTAATAGGATTATAATCAAGCAGAAGAATGATCGAATTAAAGCCAGTTTGTGGAAAGAGAATGCATGCAATGGTAAAACAAAGGATCATGGCATGCTTATAGAATGTTCGATTTTCTATTCCTCTATAGATAATCAGCCAAGTTTTTCTCGAAATAGAAATAGCTTTAATATATTGAAATGGTTGAAAATCTTACAGCCAATAAAGTCTGAACATAATGTTCATCAGGTATGCAATTGTGTTCCTTGGATCCATCGCTAGGCTGCACAACAATATATTCAAGACATTATTATAGCAAGTAAAGCAGTTTAAATTAGCACTAGTTCCTTTATTTTAAATCTAATGTCTTTATAATACATGCCATGATTATATTGTTAATGTGAGGCCCAATAACATTTGTGAAATGATAACAAGAAACTGCTTATGATTGAAATTCTTACAAATGGGTGATCCCGCCAAAACTCTGGTAGTGATTTCCTCTGCATAACCATCAAACATACAGCTGAGTAATTAATACTATTCCTGAATTGGTAATAAAAGGGACATGGAAATATGTACAACAAAATGTAAACAAGTGGCCATAGAAGGGAACATGGCATCCATATCAAAGGATGATAAAAATGCGGCAAGATTACTTGCCTTGCAATGCTGTTGAAACATTGGAAAGACTGTATTGTCCTTCACTACAACCTCTGCATGCTTCCTTGTCAATACAACCCACTACAAGAGGATAATGAAGGTCATTTGTAGTCTGCAGAAATTACAAGAAAAAAATTATATGATTTAATTGGGTTATTAGATATAACGATTACCTGAGACCCTTTTCTCCAATTGCGAACAGGAATTACCGGATCCATTTTAGGATTGTAACGCCCTTCTTTTGAATCAGCAAAACTGGTTCAACCATTTACTAGTTAAACATATTTACCACCCAAAGGTATAAAACTTTGATAACATACACAATGACATGTTTAAAGTCCATAAGCTAGAATATATCAAAATTTGGATGATTCAAAATACAAAAACTGGTAGATTAGCTTCTTTGTAATCTGCAATCTGTATAGATAAAAACACAACATAATTATTGTTGAAGCTTCAATGTCGAATAGAAAACAACACTTCGATATTTTCAACATGCCTTCCAACTTTAGAATCACTAGGAGAATTATGGTCGTTGGATTCAGAACCAATTAACTCTAGTTGTAGGAGACATTTTCACAAGAATGCTGTTTATATTTTAGATGGCGTTAGATGAGGATGAAAAAGGGTCAAGCAAGAAAGACCATTAATGCAGAAATAGCGCTGTAATGTATGTATAAATTAGTCCGTTTACCTGTCCACAAAACTAGTTGAAGTAGACATGACGTAGTCATATGTGTAGCTGAAGTTGTATAATGGTATGCAGCTGAGAAAAGATCAATTAACTGAAATATTGTAAGGATTGACTAATCCGATTAAAACAACCTTCAAAATATTTTGGAAAGAAAATATAACACATTAAAAATATATCTTAAACCATTACTAAATGCACTCAAAACTTTTATGAATTGAAGGACAAAATGACAGCATAAGAGGATACACAGGCTAACCATATCAAGTCTCACCTGTCAGAAAGAAAAATAAATCGTTGATTTGAAGTATCGGTAAGTGCATGTCTAAGCAAGATACGTTCTGCCTCAATCATACTTGCCTCACCCCAGTCTACCTGATATACAAAACATTAGCATCAAGATAAACACACAAATGGAAATGAACTTGGCAGTGAAGCAACACAAACGACTAAATGAAATTTCCTTATCCTCATTGATGTAAATATATTTACGTATACTTTAAAGGGAAGGCCAAAGAAGCTCGATAACCCTCTAAACATTTTTATTTGTGCACACATAAATGCAAAGCGCTGTAGAACAATGCATTTTGGTACTCCGGGAGAGGAAAACAGGCTGCGGTAGAAGTAAGTCTTCAGTCGTATCCCATTTCATGAGATGCAGTTTCCAAGAAAATGATTCACTACTATTTCTTACAATGGAATTGCTTTGATGCTCTTTCCGGAATCTTCGTTAAGCAGCAAAGGCGCTAATAAGTAACAACTACATATACTTGAGGAATTATACATATATATTAGCCACTAAATTAGGACTCACACCCCAATTACTCTACCTATAGTATCAATCTGTTGACAATTTTGAATTTCTCATTCCATCATAAGAATTGTTACCTGTATACTATCGTTAACTTGACGATTCAAAAAATAGATCGATCTTGTCGTCGCCTTGTTAAACAAAAATCCTGGCCTCGAATGAACGAAGATCGAAAACTTATTCTCCCCTTCCTGCTAAAAAAGTATACTAACTTCATTACGCAGTGAAAACAAAGAAATTATGAAGTTGTTCCTATGTGCTCCACAATTTCTAAAAAAAGATGGAACATTAAATCCGATCAAATGCCAAGTATCAGTAAAAAAAATTGCCAATAAACATCCATAATGAGAAGTATTAACTATTTAGCACGATAAACACTACCTGAAAAAACGTATCCCAAACTATGTCCAACGGAAGCCGATTCCGAGCTATGAACAGAAACGCGATTTTCGGTTCCTGCACCGATTGAGGACGCAACGACGCCAACATCATAACCCGACCATACTGAGACTGCATCGTAACTAAGCTCCCAAAGCAAAATACAAGCAATAGAGAAAAAGCGAGCTTCCTTTTCCATTTGAAGAGCGCCTTCCGCTGCCCAACCTTCTGCTTCATGAGGCTTCCTCTCCTGTTCAGCCAAATTTCTCCACCATTTCAAGCACGGAAGAAAAAACAGGACATCAACAAGCTCTTCGCGATATGTATCATCGTTTCTCCCCTTTAAACCCAGCGCGATCCATCGACTGGGGGAAGCAAATTTTTGGATCGTTCGAGCAGCAAAAACTCGAATTAAGTGGAAATTGTTAGCAAATTGAAACAGAAAATTGCGTGGTAGTGCGGGTAATAGAGATCGAGAAGCTTGAGAAGAGAAAGAATACTCGTGAAAGCCGAGTTTTCTCCGGCGGCAGCGTGGGAACGGGAAAGGAGGGGGAGAGAGAGAGAGAGAGAGAGAGAGAGTTAGGAGTGAGAGTAACTTCAGTTTAGGTGCTTTGTGTAGGCAGTTTAGTTTCCTCCATTAAATTCTAGTTTGGTTTAGTATTTATTTATATATGCTCATCTTTGCGTGCAAAGCTGGATATTCCCTTCCTTTCTAATTCTATATTTCCAATTTGCTTTTTTTTTTCTGGTGAAACTTAAAATTTTAAAATTAGAATTTTATTCTTTCATAAATAGTCTATAATTAAATAACAACATCTAGTTATAATATTTAAAATTATATAGGAAGGAAATTATAATTTAATTTATCATTTAGTTATAAAATTATAATATACCTAGGGTTAATAGTTAAATTAGTTAAATGTTAAAATATATTCTTAGACTAGTTGGTTTACTTTATTATTTAAATTCTCAATGTCAAATAATACATTCGATTCATTTTTAAAGAGAAAAAAGTAAAATTTTATTTTATACCTTTATTAAAAATTATCTTGCGAATAAAGTAATAAAATTGATAATTTTGTGTTAGAGGTTAATAACATAGTTAAATTATAGATTTAAGCTTATAATTTAATAACACCTCATAAATATTAAATTATTGAAATTAAATTTGTAGTAAAAAAAATTATTTAATTTAAAATGAGAGGAGTAGAAATGGAAAGAAAAGGATGGAAAGCCAAACTTAATTGTAGGAAAAATATAACATGGGAGTTGTGAAAAAAATAATAATTATGAAATCTTGAAGCACACTCTTTTTAATTATAATCTTTCATAAATAAGAGTTAGTAGTATTTTAAAATCCAAGCAACCCAACTACTACTGATTGTGTTGCAATCTTCGAAAGTAATTAATATCTCTAATATCAAGACTTAAAAAATACATCTTTTAATTGAAAGGTAGTTTAAAAATATTTATAAAATATTAAGTATTAGTGTAAAATTAGAATTAAATAAATAGCTTTTATAATCAGCCTCAAAATTATAATTCTTTTATAAGATTTCCGGACGACGTCGTTTGCCGGGACAGTCCTTCCAAGATTCAGAAACCATGAGATCGTTATCCATCACTCCTCAGATCACAGTGAAGAGGTCTGCAAAATCTTCCCTCTAATTTTCCCTTTTACAATTTGCTTAATCTGCCTCTAATGGCCGTTCGTTTCGCCATTGAAGTTTCTCGTCCGGCGACATTAGAAGAAGAACATACACAATCAGCACATCTCAGAAATCTGCCATTCCTATCGGACGGCCCTTGAGATTCGGAAATTTCACCTCGCGATTCCGCACGAGTGTCGATAATGGAGGCTCGAATCGGAGCCGAGATCGGATTGGTGCGGGAGATGCAGTCATTATCGTCGACCATGGCTCCCGGCGGCAGGAATCTAACCTCATGCTGAGTAAGTTAGGGTTTTGGAATTTGGGTGAGATTGCAAATTCTACGCAATCTAATTCTATTGTGAATTTCAGATGAGTTCGTTGCTATGTTTAGGGATAAAACTGGTTACCCTATTGTGGAGCCTGCTCCCATGGTATGTTCTTCTTAACTGCATTTTTCTTGTGGGGCTGTAATGAATTCTCTTTTACTTTGCTCTAAAAACCACAGGAGCTGGCTAAACCTTCGATAAGAGACGCATTCAAATCGTGCGTTGAACAAGGGGCCAAACGCATCATCATAAGCCCGTTCTTCCTCTTCCCTGGTCGACATTGGCAACAGGTAACTTGCTGTAAGGCAGTTGATTTGATGAAATGACTCTTTCAGTAAGTGGATTGATAGCAATGGCTGGAATTTTGTAGGATATTCCTTCCTTAACAGCTGAGGCAGCAAAGGACCACCCAGGAATATCATACATAGTAACTGCTCCTCTTGGTCTTCATGAAAAGCTCGTGGTAGGAATTTCTCTAGTAGATTTCTTTTCCCAGTATAGTGAAGAAACAGGTTCATAAATGATCAAAGAAAAAAGAACTGTATTTGTTGGTATTGAAATATGAGGTGTTCTGTTGGCACTGGCAGGATGTTGTGAATGATAGAATGAATCACTGCTTGAGTCATGTGCTGGAGTTGCAGATGAATGTGAAGTTTGTGCTGGAACAGGCAAATGCAGATTTAATTAATGAGTCTATGAAAGTTGGGACTTGGGATGAAACGACGTAGTTTCGTTTCAAGTGAACGTGTTCGGTGGTGGGGATTGGATGGGTTTGTATATCAATGACTGCTGAAGGCTTGAGAATCTATCTTTGTTTGGTATCTAAGTTTGTAAGCTTGTTCTTCATTCTGTTTTCACAAATGACTACAATATGCACAATGATATTAGTTCTCAAAAGGGTTTTGAGAACAGTTTTCCAAACAAACTATTGGATATAGTGATTGAAATTCATAGCTTTTCATGAATCTACCTGTGTGTCCCAAAAACTTGTTTTACCCACTTCCAAATTCCATTGATCTTCTCCATCTGTATTTTCATGCTCGCATTAGCTCGAGCCTCTGCTTGAGCTGGGGTTTCTTCAACCGTTTCCTTTCCTGTAAATCTTCACATAAGTGATCGAATTGAACTAAAAAGGCAGTTGAGAATAGCTTCAAAACTCACCAAATTTTGTGTCCTGTTTTTGTCGTTTCAGCTGCTGGGTGAAGGCTTTGGCCGCCATGAAGACATTGGCCGGAATTTCCCAGCCGCCTCCAAACACGCCATATCCTTCCTTGGGAAGTGGCTGCATCAGATACTCCAACACTGCCAGTTCCTCCTTTTCTACCCAATATATGCAATTTACGGGACATGATTCCACTGAAACCTGTAAGAATGAAGCGAAGCTGTTTAGTGTTCTTTTTCTACTCGTAATTTACATTTTTCCCCCTTTTACCTGAATTTTCTGATCATTGTCTCCATACTGAACCTTAACTCGTGCACGACCAAGTGTCTCATCCATGGTGAATGTATTACTTGCATGGTGTACACATTCCCTGCAACCTGTGAGAAATTATGCAAGCTTCTCATCCTCATATTTGAAAGTGGTTTCAGATAAATAATAACGAGTTCGAATCCTTTTTACTATTTCTTATCCATGTAACTTGGTGAGCTAAGTCTAACTAGTGATGAATCCAAGCTAAAAAGATCGTGTTCTAAGTCAACATTCACAAACATTTTAGACATCAGGAAACTCGAGTACAACAATAAGAACATCCAAATCCAATCATAATAATGCCTATATGTCGCCACAAAATCAAACTGCATAATCAACAAAAGTCTCTCCAGGCTTCGAGATCTTTTCGCAATATTGTTACTTGGCAGAGTTCATTAACAAAATGAATAGTAAAGGATGAACACAACCATACCAATGCAGGCGTTTCCGTCCACAAACAAAGCCTGAGATCGCAGGGGTCCTTTCCAGGAGCTGTAACCTAATCCAGGGTTATAATTCCCAAATCTCACCCTCATCTCACCCATGGAAGAATCATAATTCTTCCTTTGATCCTCTCTCATCAGAACTCGATAAGCCTCGTTCAACCTCAACGTACGCTCGTGGCCCTGACAATTATAAAAAATCATCGGAAGGTAGTGTGTTTACAATGAATTCTGGTACAAATTAATAACCTCTTGGCCTGCAATATCCGGATGAAATTTCTTCTGCAACTTTCTGTAAGCTTCTTTGATTTCTTGAGCATTTGAATCTGCAGAAACTCCAAGCAGCTCGTAATAGTTCGTCTCATTCCCTCTTTCTCTTGCGCTGCATCTAATCGCCGTCCATCTCGGCTTCCTTCAGGCCAAAATTGTTCGTCAGAAGTATTATATAGAAGAAAATTGGAGCCGCAAAGCTAGTCAAATCTAAGATCTCTTCAGACTAAAAAGATGAAGAAGGTAGAACTCTTGACAACATGATCGATCTCTGTAAAGGAAATAACCTCATGATAAGCTTAGATTCATTAGGATGCGCAAAAGATGAAGAAGCCATAGGCACTGAGCGTTGAATAGATGGAACAATGGAGATGGCCATGAGGACGAATGAAACTGCAACTTCGCCGCCAATCGACAGTCCAGTGGAGGAATGAAGATCAAAGAGTACGAAATGGATGAGATATTTCTCAGGATTCGAGATATTTCTGAAGGGCCACCAAGTCGCTTTTATATTGGAAAATTATTTCCGCCTTTAGCGGTATATTCTCTTCCGTGAGTATCTCAATTTTTGTTTTATTCTCTCTTAATACATATAATCCTTATCCCATCCCATATGAACAATTATATATATATATAAGTCGATCAAATTTATACTATAAATAATTTGGAGGACAATAATAAAATTTATATTCTAATGCCATAAAAAGAAAAGAAAAACAATGCCATAAAAAATGGATTTCTAAGCGCCGCGGCCTGCAAATTCCCGCCATTTCAACTTGGGAGCATATAAATATGCGGTGCAAATTTCATTTTTCATCGCCTAGTATTCTATATTTTATCTCGCTTCAGTTGAATTCTGTGTTCGTTTTCATTCTTGCCGTCGCTTGGGAAGGCTTCACTCGCGTTCACGATCTGAATATCGAGGCTTCAATTCAGAATCTGTTCGTTCAACTGCCGAGAGAAGAGGTGCACATACAATGGAATGCTAGTTTTATCATTGATCATGCCTGATCACACTGTTACAAAGCATTTCTGATAAGGTTTTTATCTCGGGATAAGTTTGGTATCACATCGTTTTTAATTCGGTTATATTACAAAAGTGTGCATTAAATTTTTCTGGAGATTCTCGACGGATTTCGTGAAGGACGGTTCTGCATTTGAGCTTACCGGTGATGATTTAATTGCTAAATTTGGATGCCTATGCTTGATTGAGCATTTGTGTTCTTTGTGCTTCTTTGTATTTCTTGTTCTATGACATTGTATTTGTTTTTTTAAGACTTCTCCGTCTGGATATCTGAATGTGTGTGGTCAGGATTGACACTAACGATCGTGCAAATGTCAACTTCTTCTTCATAAAGTTTAAACAATTCATATTCATTTAATTATCTGCTTGTTAATTGTGCAGTTCTTACTACTGATTGTAATGTTTTTCTTGCATCAGTATCAATCAAGCTCGATTATTCTACATCAGTGTCCAGAAGTCCGGACACGGTCATGGACTCATATTCACTGAAATCCGTATCAGATTTACCCGCACCACTTCGCTCGACTTTTAGTTTTAGGTAACATGCCAATTCTGTAGAAATTTTAGCTCTAGTCTTTTTAGACACTACAGTAATCGCAATTATGATTTTTCCATGATTGATTTCAAACTGAACAAGCGTCTAAAATTGAAAGATATGTATACTTCTAAATTTTTTAAGATCTCTGTAAATCTTGTATTTGTTAGACTTATTCGTATTTTGTCTATTGCATCTCATCTTCAGTCGTTTGCTTCTTGTAATAGAATGAGCTGATCCTCGCTTTCTATCAATCTTCTTAGCAGCATCTAATGTGTGATTGAGCCTGTATTTACTTTCTCATTATTTCTCGTGGAGACTGTCACGAGAATCTGTTGCAAAACTAGTGGTAAGGAAAAGAAAAATTAGAGACTAGTGATAAGGAAATTCCAAGTTGGAGAAAAAATCGACCATCTTAACTTCTTAATTGATGAACAATTGACGCTTTTTTAATTCCTAAGGATGTGATATAAAATCGAAATTTGAAATTTAAGGATACAGCTCTCTCGACTATTTCCTCTTATATAAGCTGTCCTCTCCGACTCAAGTTGTAGACTAAGCTAATCCATCTTTTCACTTAGTAGTCTCTACGTTCAGGTACTTCAATTCTTTACAGAGTGAATGTTTTCCTGTTTGTTTCAACTCCGATTCGAACATGGTCATTTCAGCCCCTACTGGGAGTGGTAAAACTGTACTGTTTGAGCTTTGCATTTTGAGGCTTCTTTCAAAATTTATTGCCGAGGGGAAGTTCATCCACGAAAAGGGAACTCTAAAAAGCGTAAGTCTCCCATGCAATTATGCCATCGGACAGATGTAAAAAGAGTGCTAAATTTATTCATGTAGTAATAGAGGAGAGCATTGCATTATGTTTATACAATTCATATGCATGCATCGTTTCTCTTCAACAATTTATTCCAAGTTTAATTTCTCCTTCTCTCTTTTATTCTGTGTGCATATCCATATACATATACACAGATGCAACTATTATTTGCATCACTTTTTAAAACATAATTGAGAGGGAAAATTACAATTTTATGTGCATCCGATATTACATTACATGGTTTCCATCTTCCTTTTACATTTATGCAGATATATATTGCCCCATCTAAGGCTTTAGTACAGGAGAAGCTCCGTGATTGGAATCAGAAATTTGGGTCTTGGGGGGTCAGCTGTTTGGAGCTAACAGGAGATAATGAAACTTACAATATGAAACATATACAAGAAGCTGACATTATTCTAACAACGCCTGAGGTCAGGACTTTAAACGCAGAACCCTTATTTCATGTATCAATGCTCATACAAAGTTAAGTCCACATGCAATTGAATGCTAATAACACTATTAGTCACTCAATTCTCGTAAGTTTATTATTTCCATGTCAATCGTTACTTTCAAGAGAGTGATGCTTCTTGCCTAACATGATTTCTCCAAGCTGCATTGGTTTCACTTTTAGCAGTACTTTTCTGAATGGCTAAATACCATCTCCTTTTATTTTTTGCATTGAAGAAATTTGATGCAGTAACTCGGTATCACATAAAGGATGGTGGTTTAGGCTTTTTCGGTGACATAGCCCTTGTACTTATTGATGAAGTTCATCTTTTGAATGATCCACGTGGAGCAGCCTTGGAAGCCATAGTTAGTAGAATTAAAATGATTTCTCGCAACCCTGAAATGAAATCCAGTCCTCTCTCTCATGTTCGTTTCTTAGCTGTATCTGCTACAATCCCAAACATTGGGGATCTTGGTAAATTTACTTTAGTTTATTATTACTAGTATTACTCGCATCTCCAAGTGTCTAAAAGTGAGTGAACTTCCAAATTTTATGATTTATTTAAACCATTGCAGCAGAATGGCTTAACGTCCCTGTTCAAGGAGTCAAAAGGTATGCTTTTCGTATTAATAACAGGCACCAAGTATTTTCATTGCAGGATCAAGCAGATTTCATTTAGTTTTCAATGCTCATCAGGTTCGGAGAAGAAATGAGGCCTGTTAAGTTAACCAGCAAAGTATTTGGTAATTGATGTCTGAAATTACCAGTTCTGTGGTTTGCTTCTTTGTCTGATGCAGTCTACTATTTTATAAATGTAGAATGCAAGTACGAATTGTGATGGTTAAGTGCTTAGAGTAAATGGGAATACGAATAAGTGTGAAGTATATGACACATTTTGTATTTTTTGCTGTTCTACTCTTAATTATGTAATCCTTCTGCAGGCTATGCCCCTGCTAAAAATGATTTCATGTTTGAGAAGGTATTTGATCGAAATTCAACATAGAGTAGATTGTTTTCAAGAAATCACAACCAGCACAAAATATGTTTGGAATTATCTAACAGTTTCCAACTTTATTTCATTGTGTATTACAGCGCCTTCAGAACTACATTTTTGGTCAGTGGAACCATGAATTGTATTTTCCTTTACCGATATTATTTTATTTGCTTCAGTTTTCGCCCTTCTAATATTGTCATACTGAGAAATGTAGATGTTCAAATGAGTTCGCAGATGTTCTCATGCAATATTCAAAAGGAAAATCTGCATTAGTGTTTTGTTCAACTAGAAAAGGAGCGCAAGAAGCAGCTCAACGGCTCTCGCAAACAGCAATGACCTTTGGTTATTCAAATCCTTTTATTAAAAGCAAGGAACAGCTGGAAAGGTTACGAGAAGCTTCACTATCATGCAGTGATAAGCAAATGCAATCTAATATTCTTTATGGTGGTAGAAGGCCGACTTCTTTTTTTAATGCACTCATATCATCCTGCATTTATTTCAAAATTCATGCTGTTGAAATAAATATCTCACGTTGACAGTTGGGTATCACAATGGTGGGCTTTGCTTGAAGGATCGCAATCTCATTGAAAGCCTTTTTCTCAAGGGTGATATTCGAGTTATTTGCACTACAAATACTCTTGCTCATGGAATCAACTTGCCGGCACATACAGTAATAATAAAATCAACTCAGCACTTGTATGTTCTGCACCTCTTTCTATTCTACTTTTTTTGGGGATTCTAGAAGAAAAACATGCAAGAAAGTTAACTGAAATCTTCTTTCCCACACATCTAATTTCTACCTTAATGCAGTAACAAGGAGAAGGGCCTTTACATGGAATATGACCGGTCCACAATACTACAGGTTCTTCATTGTCACAATATCCTTTCATCCCGGGTTATGTTTTCACGTTTTGTTGTGATTCAACATGTAAGTTGGGTGTCTTTCTGAAATCCGGTGGAATGAACAGAAAAGTCTCGCAATCATACCCACTTATAAGAGAACATAAATGGATATTTCATAATTTCTATCTTTCTGGAAATTGTCTAATGGTCCTACATATCTGGTCTGCTTCGTTATATGCAGATGTGCGGGAGGGCAGGTCGGCCTCCATTCGATGATACGGGAATTGTCATAATCATGACAAGAAGAGACACAGTAATGCCACGATATCTAAGCTTCATTTCTCTCATTTTCTTTCTTTACTTGGAAGTTTACAGAATTTATTGGTTTAAGCATTGTTTTTTTTCTTATTGCTATACGAAATAGTTTTCAACAATACCCTTTTCATTTTTTATCCCAGGTCCATTTGTATGAGAATCTCCTAAATGGATGTGAAACTGTGGAGTCGCAGTATGTATTTAATTCAGTGCACTTGTTACATTGGAACACTTCAAATGTTTTGTTTTACATATGCTTTTCCAACTTTAGACTGCTTTCGTGTGTGACGGAGCATTTAACTGCGGAGATAGTTCAAATGACCATCTCAGATATAGTAAAGGCAATTGAATGGATGAAGTGTTCGTATTTATACGTAAGAATGAAAAAGGTGTGTACGTTTTGTCATGCTATCCTCTTGATTATATAGTTCAGATATTTTTGTTTTCATCTTAACTGGTTTTTTTATTTGTTCCAAATTTATTTGCAAGCTAGAATCCGCAGAAATATGCTATCAGGAATAGAATTTCTTATCACAATACGGAGAAGCACATGGAAGGTATTATCACATTCTCTATGATATAAATTTGTTTAAATTGTTAAAAGTAATTTTTTGCACTTAACCCCTCATGAGCTCTTCTTAGAAACTATAATCTATGATATTTTATGATCAGACATTTGCATTGAGAAAGTAAATGAATTATCTCGACATCAGATGATTTGGATGGATGAAGATGGCTTCCTCTTGAAGCCACTAGGTACACTTTAGGGAGTAATGACATCAACTATTTTCTACTATTTAATGAAATAAAAATCCTGATTTCCTTTCTTTTTGGTAAGCAGACCCCGGGAGGTTGATGACAAAATATTATTTGAAGTTTGATACCATGAAACACATTATGCATGCCCCTGAAAATTGCAGTCTAGAGGAGGCGCTACATATCATTTGCCATGCCGAGGAAATCGCTTGTATGTGCCTTTGACCTTTTACCTTGAGAATATTGCTGGTTGTTTAGAATTCAGCTGAAGGAGGCTATAAACAATTTGGGGAACTGAAGGGATTCAGCTTAGGCGCACTGAGAAGAAGCTTCTTAATGATGTAAACAATGATAAAGATGGGAGGCTGCGTTTTCACATTCTTGGTGAAAAGGGGAAGAAGAAAAAACGTATACAGACGAGAGAAGAAAAAATATTTATTTTAGCAAACGATTGCTTGACTGGTGATCCTTCAATTCACGATTTATCCCTCAGTCAGGTTCATTTTCTCATAAAGCAAACGGCTTTTAAATCATATTGTCCTTGAAAAAAGTCATTACAACCGGTATCCTTGCACAGGACATGAGTTCTATTTGCTCAAATGGATGCAGAATTGCCAAATGCATGAAAGAATATTTTGTATACAGAAAGAACTATAAAGGAACCTTCAGCTCAATGCTTCTAGCAAAATCTCTATATCAAAAACTCTGGGATGACAGTCCATTTTTGCTCAAACAACTACCTGGAATTGGAATGGTGACTGCAAAGGTTTTTACTTCATCTTTTATTGCTTTCTGAAAAATGTTTATTAGGTTGTAGGTGAAACTCGCTCGTGAGAGAATCCTTTCAATTGTTCTTTTCAGGCGTTGCATTCTATGGGAATCAAATCATTTGAGGCACTTGCTGAAGCGGATCCAAGGAAAATAGAGATAGTCACAGGCAGAAAGTACCCATTTGGGAATCATATCAAGGAGTCATTATCATCCTTACCACCGGAAGTGGACCTGAAGCTCGAGGAAGCTGAATGCGGTAGACAAGGGAAGGCCAAGCTCATCGTAACATTAACTAGATTGCCCCAGGCTTACCGACCAAATAAACGACATTACGCTGATATGGTTTGTTGACTTAAATGTCTGTCTATTTTTCACTAAGAGTTGACCGTTGCAACAGAGAATTCTGTCTTGCAGATTGTTGGCCTAGAAGAAGATAACCAGATTCTCTTTCATGAGAAAATAAGGTGATTACTTTTGAAACTTTGATGTATAAGTTTAAGAAAAAAACTGGGCGTGGATTTAATCGAGAAAAAGGATAGAGATTCGAGCTTTGGATATTTATAAATTTAACTACTTTTTTGGGTATGTTTAAACTTATCGTGTTTGATTTCATTGTTCCAAATTACCTTACTCTGTTTAACTAGATTTCTTTTTGGTGCAGCAGAGTAGATGAATTCTCCAGGTACTCGAGATTAATCTTTTTGTAGCTCATTAACCAACAAAGTTTTCTTATGTGTCATATAAGTCATGAGTCCATTGTATTAAGATTCAGAGGCATCAAATGGTGAGTTTACATTGAGCTTATTTTGAGCCTTGCTATTTCTTTCCTAATTCCATAAGGTTATTGAGAGGGCAAACATTTCCTTACCCCATATGAATTTTTGTTGGGGAAAAGTCAACCTTTTTGTTCAAATATATCGAACTTGACCAGAAAATAGTAACTATAGCATCAATACAACCTTATCTTACTACTATTTTGCTCTTTCTGCAGCCCTTACAGTGCAGTTGTTCTTGTCTCACATCCTCAACAAGGAAAGTTGACGATTAAAGCTGACCTTATTTTTGATGAATACAGTAAGAATCTATGCCGTTTCAAAAGTTCATAGACCCTCTTGCATGGACAAAATTCCTAGTTCCCTTGGATAGACTTTTAAGAGTTTCTTCACGTAGTTGGCATTGATCTCCACCGAAAACTTCAACTAATGGAACGAAATTCAAACGCGAGAAGCAAATGGGGAAGAATACCGCCGTCCTCCTTTCCTCCACCTGAGGAAGTATACATCATAGACAATGACAGTGAACCTCTACCACAAGCTGCAGTAAAAGAGCCTCCCAAATCTTGCGACTCGAACTCGTTACTAGATTCCATGTGAGTGATCTTCTCCTAGATCCCTGAACTCTTCAAGAACTGAATAGGAGACCTTGAAATCTGTAACTTAATTTGAGTGTTTAAAAAGTATACAACGATGAGTTTGGAGTACGTAAATTTAGTGGTCTATTTAATACTTTTTGCTCCTAACAAAACTTTTCAGGCCGAGTTTCAACCTCCTAGACGAAGAGTTTGAGGACGGTACGTAAATTCCTGAGAGTCAGAGCGCAACTCATGTGCTTTGTATCAAATTCCTCTCCTTGATTTCTTTCTGAAAGTAACTTAAAATTATTGCAGCCGAGCCTGCAGCTGGCAACGACGAAGATGAATGCAAAATCATCACTGAACGAACTGTATTTGACCACATACGTAAGAAAGCCAAAAGCTTCCCTGTGTTGGCTGCTTCAAAAAATAGTGCTTATTCACCAGCACCAGAGACATATAGTTTCACTAGAAACACGCAGCCGCTAGAATTCCAGGTTGAAGCTTTGGAAGAGAAACAGAGAAATGAACTTTCCCCACATACTAAAGTGGAGTCGTTTTCAGGCTTCAGAGAGGAAGTTGGAAATGAATTTCGGACTCTCCAAAACCACTTCCCCTCTGGACCACATTTCATGGATGACGAAAAAGGTACGCATCTATTTGGCTTAAATGTAAGCTTGAATGAAAGTTTTATTTGGGTCAAAATTTTATTTAACTTTCAATTGATAGTCCCAATTTAACATTCTAAGTTTCAATGTAGTTTAAATCTACGGCTATAGTTTACCTCTAATCTTCATTGTAAAAGTGCTCAAGTAGATCTCTAGATATTTAATGAGATTACATTATATTTTTCATCTATTAGACATACAATTTAGTTAAAGTATAGAAATAAAACTGATAATTTAACACATTTTTATGATAGCTTGGATGGTGCATATTGGATCAAGAATGCCTTTTCAGCCCATACCCAATTTATACTTATACTTTGTTATAGACATATTCTAACGATTGCCAAAAAAATTTCAGGGGAATTGGGTCTCCAGACAGAAGAAAGTAAAATCATCATAACGGAGGAAACCATATTTGATGATATAAAAAGAAAAGGTAACAGTTTTCCGGTTGTATCCCAAATTTGTGTGAATACACCAGGTGCATACAGCAAATTGAATCGGGCTTCAGATGCAGAAGTGGCATCCATGCAAATGCTGTCTTTTGATATCTCCATGATGAAGGAAAACAAGCGGCCACGTCCAGCGAGCCCTAATATCAGCAACACCTGGAACCACCCGAGCCCACCTGTAGAAACCAAAAAGAACTGCTGCTCGCTAGAAACTGCCACCGAGACCAGTGAAGTAGATCCTTTCGTTGGATTTAAGAGCGTTTTTTCTTTCCTCTGACTCCTTTCTTATCTTACACCGATTCATTCTTTTATTTTCCTTCTTGCTTGATCGTGTATGGAGAATTGTGTCATTTCATACCTAGATGCATTTCTTAAAATTGTTTCGGAATAATCTTTTAAAATTTTGGAAAAATATCAATTTTTACCGCCATATTTGTTTGTTGCATCTTTTTACCACAAATTTTGTTTTCATTAAATTGTACTTAAAACTTAAAAAATAGGTATTTCAACTTTAAATCCAAACTTGAAAAAATATTGAACTTGTCACAATATTCCTATATGTTTTCCTACAACAATTGGTAAGATTTCAAAGACCTATTGAGTTGCACATTGTGAGTTCTTGTAAAATTGTTGAAAAGTTAATTTGTACATTAATCAACTTTACATTTATTGAAATTAATGAATTACTAAGAATTTCACATTACTTTTTGTCAAAATAAGTAATAAATTATTGAAATTTTAATAGATGGTAGAGGTTTAAAAGGTTCATTACTAAAATGGTTAATTATAGTTTATTATAAAATAAATTAAATTAAAAATAATATGTTATTTACTGAAAAAAAAAAAAAAACAAAACGATATATTTTATTTTCCATGTCTGAGCATCTAATTAGGTTTTGAAAATAAACATGTGTTTAGGAAGTGATTTTAAATAAATTCATTGTTGGCCAACCTTACTAAATAAATAGAAAAAAGACGGTTAATTAAACCCCACATATTTAGGCTCCTTCCCTATAACGCCCAAACCTCGGCGATGAGATGAAAGCCAGACTCATTCGAACCGCCATGTCAAGTGCCACACTGTTGTCTTCATCTCTTGCCCTCAAGAACCCTTGCTTCCACTTCTCCTCCACCTTTTCTACTCCTTTCAATGGACGTCTTCTCAAGAATCAGCTTCCTTGCCCAATTCGCTTCCCTGCCGTTTCGCTTCGATGCTATGCATCTTCTTCTGGTGTTGATCGAGTGCGCGTCTTGAATCCTGTTGTCGAAATGGACGGTAATATATCGTGTTTGTGGCTTCTTAATCAATCTGTTCTAATCGAATTGAATTGAGTATGATTTTGGAATGCGTTTCTGGCTGTATTTTATTTTATTTTTTTATTTTTATTTTTGGCTAGAACTCAGTTTGAAAACCTAGGAGTGTTGATTACTGAGTGAATGTTGTTTGCATGTGAACTCAGTTTCCTGTCGCTTCAAATATTTCAACTTGAGCTTGACTTGTCTGGTCTTTATCTAGTTCTGATTATTGAATTGATCAGATTCATGTGTTGTGAACTTATATTTTCCATTTGGATGCTTGTTACGGCTTGACTGATTTTGATGATTTTTTACTATTAGGTGATGAAATGACGAGGATCATATGGACAATGATAAAAGAGAAAGTATGGTTACTCCTACACGAAATTGTTTCGATTTTAATCTTTTCGAGGGAGATGATTTGTTCTGATACTGTTTCTTGTTTTCAATTACATTGTAGCTTATTTTCCCGTTCCTGGATTTGGATATAAAGTATTATGACTTGGGGATACTGAATCGGGACGCTACTGATGACAGAGTTACTGTAGAGAGTGCAGAAGCCACTCTTAAGTATGTTCTACTAGTAAAATTTCAGCTAATATTTATTTGGGGATTTTCTTATTTTGGATTCAACAATGTTTATTCGCTTGTGCTCAATGGCGTGTTCTTTCAAAAGTGGTCAGAAGCTGTTCAAACTGTAGATAATGTATTTTTGGGTGGAAGGCTGAGACAAGGAAGCAAAGAAATTAGCTGATAATTGATTGCATAGGGAACATGGCTATGAGTTTCTACTCGATTGGCATACTTTATAACTTGTTGATGCTTATATGAGGTGTAATTTTCTAATTGAGACGAGGACGGAGAAACAATTAGTTGGTGAAGATAGTATCATTAATTTCAGGTCTAGAAAAGCAATTAGAACTAAACATCCGCTCGATAATAGAGTACACATTACTTGAGTTCTTGTGCTTATCTCAGAGTTGTTCTTTTTGTCCTCCTTCGAACATTGTGAATGCAGGTACAATGTTGCTGTAAAATGTGCTACAATCACTCCAGGTGCGTCATTTGTATCCATGCCAATCTGATATTTTAGAGTCACTAAATCATAGAGCATCCCGATTGAATTTTCTTCATGGATGTAATATTGGCAATAATTATCAGCTTTAATTGATTTCTCTTGATCTTTATCTCATTTTTCAGATGAGGCCAGAGTTAAAGAGTTTGGACTTAAAGCTATGTGGAGAAGTCCCAATGGCACAATTAGGAACATTCTTAACGGTTTGTTGGCTAAATATACTATCTTATTTTTCAAGGAACATTCTTAACAATTAGTGCAAGTGTAATTTGGACACGACACTACCTAAAAAGAATAAAGAAGAAAAATCCTAGTCCTTTTTTTTTTTTTTTTTTTTTGGGAGTTCGAAAATCT